TAAAAATTTCTTAATATAATTATGAATTTATCATTTTGTTCAATTCTTAGTTTATATTTAACAAAAAAAACATTTTTTTTTGCTATAAATATGAAAAATTCTATATTTTTATAATTTTATTTATACAATCATACAGGCCAAACCGGAACGAACCGCGACCCGCATGGGCTCGACCAGATGGGTCAGCGGGCGGGCCTGGGTTGTAGTCCAAAATTGTTGGTAGACCCATAACCGGCCTGAAACCCGCAGCGGGTGGGCTTTTTTTCACGCGGGCCGTTACCGAGCTCACATGTTGGCGGGCCGACCCGACCCGACCCGGACCACCCGGATTGACACCTCTAAATGATGCCACACCAAATGTTATCTGTCAAAATCTTTGTACTTATAGCACGATTGAATCATGTTACTAATTTTTTGAGGGAAAAATATATAATTACCAATATTTAAAGACATACTCTCAAATTTGACAAATTTGTGAAATTCTTTCAACAATTAGGTAATTAAGGTCAAAATAACATACTCACTCCGTTCCAATTATATAGACTGATTTTCTTTTTTCTCTTGTCCCAAATATATATGCATGTTTCCTAATGTAGAATATTTTGTTGTGTTCTTTTACCAATATATCCTTATTAAATTTTCCACACTTAATATGTCAACTTCTTGAAATCATCCAAATATACACATTTTCCACTTCTGGGAAACATGAAACAACTCTTATTTCTTTTTCAAATTCTTTATTAGTTCCAGCAATAATTTAATTTTACATACAGAAAATTAAATAGGGGTAAACTAGGAAAGATTTTGGCAAAAATTAATTTTCCAATGACATGAAATAAGTTTTCTTAATCCGTGTGAAAAACGAAACAAACCTATATAATTGGGATGGAGAGACTAGAGAGTATAGTTTATGGTTACGGTTATATACTAGTCACAATCTTAAATGTCATAGACTTACAGTCACAAATCATAAACTTTATAAAAAAATCACAATTTATTTCTCAATAAAAAATTATCAAATTAACTAACCTCAATTACCCAATTAAATAGTCACAAATTACCCTTCATTTCGCCCCCCACCCCCACCCCACCCCACCCCACCACACCACCACCATGACCGTCGACATCATTGAAACATATCATCATCCACAACCCAACACCACTACCTTCAATGCCTCACCACCACCACCACTACAACAACCACCCTCAACAAACCACAACCACCACCTCACATTCATCGTACCACCACCAATGTTTGCATCCCATCCCACATCCATCGTACCACCACCACCATAGACACAACATCGCCCCACCGGCACCACCACACCACAATTGCAATTTATTAAATCATGTTATGGACCGAACTTCAACTTCTTTAATTTTTTAGGGACCGTGACTATAATTTCCCAATTTAATTTTTTTTTTTTTTTTGGTTCCAAAGGCGGTGAAGCACGACTATATTTTTGCTTTCTTGTGAGAGGTGCATCGACAACCTTTTGCGGTTGATGCCCGAAAAGGCATCACTAGACAGAGTGTATTTGTGACCATTTAATTTGATAATTGCGAAAGTAAGGTATACCTAATTTTTTACCGTTTAATTTGGGTAATTGTGTGAGCAAGCTACACTCGATTTTTGAAAGAGAAAAACTGTGTACTTGATTATTGAGATTAGACATTGAAAAGTGGAAGTAGGTATAATTTCCTCATTTTTTAATAAAGGTCCAGTATGTGGCATGGTGCTTCTACAGTTTAGTTGGTCAGCTTGTGGTGCATATATATATATTGGAAAATTACAAAAATAAATTAATCAATTAAAGAATTAGGGGTCTAAATTTAAAATTCTGGTTTTATAACATTTTATTGAAAAATAAGCCTCAACTATCCATCAAATTCAACAATTAATTTTAATGACATATTTCATGATGTACACAAATTTTCAATCACACATTTTATCAAAAAGAAATTTTCAAAGTTTACTAAAAATCTGAGTTTAATCTCTACTAACATGACCCAAAAAATTATTTATGACGATTTTCAGAGAGTTACATTCATTGTAACTTCTCATAGACCATGGTATAACTAAAAATAATGTGGGTTGTGGTGGCAATATAACCCTAGGCCCTGAACTTTTTTTTTTTGCTCAATCTAACATTTATGTCTTCAATTTTTTGTTTACATTCTTGTCCTCAAATTTTCATTATTTAGAACATTTAGTATCCGATGATGGTTTCCATCCAAAAATCTATTATGTAAATGAAAAATGACTTATTTGCCCCTCATGTTTTGAAATTAACAAACAACGAATATAAAAGTGCGAGACTATATATGCCCTTCATTTCGAAGTATGCTTACAGAATATTTGGACATGAATCATAATCAAAGACAAGATGTGCTAATTTATAAAAGATAGAGGATAAAGGTGCAACAAAAAAAAATTGTCATATAGTGTTCACACCGCACCCCATAATTTGTTATTATAGCCCATGTTTGATCTTCGTATCTAAAAACTCATTTTTTTTCCTCAAACTTATTTTCAACCACACATTTACATAATAAAATATTTTGCACGTAAACTCCAAAAAAAATCAATTTCTTAACTACACGTTCTCCAAAAATCAACTGTTATAGAACTCAATTTCAACAAAAATAAGGGCCAAACATATGCATAATATATACACGCGGGTAAAGGTTGTATATTGTCATGTTTACTTGTCTTTCCATATGATATAGTAACGAAGGGTAATTCTAATACCACATACAATTATACATATATAAAAAAGAGTAAAAATCTAACTTTTCTATTTATTCATTCATTTTAATCATAAGAAACTTCACTAAGATATAGATTAAGAACAGTATTATAAATAGTATAGACTCTTAAGAATTATAAAGATTGAGAAGGAGCTGAGACATCAAGGCTTTGTTCTCTTGATGAAGAGCAAGTGTTTTCTTCCTTAGCCTTTGATTCTCTTCAATAATGATCTTGTTCTTTATGTAAAGCTTCAAGTTGTCCATTGCCATTTGTACCTTCATCTTCCTCAGGTTAGCCCTTTTTACTGCTTCCTTTGACATTATTCTCCACCTCCTGTTCCATATAAAAGTTATTGATTGCTAATTTGCATGGGGATGTATATTGAAAACGCTTACCTATTTAATCTGTTGGATAGTCGTCGTCGCCTTAAAACAGTTGAATATATAGGATGAGATGACCTGATGACATCTTCGTTTTGTGTACACATTCTTCTCCTATACTTCAAGTCACAGAAAACAGATATTTGGGAGAGTTTTTTGATGTGGTGAATGAGAATTGATGATCAGGAAGATGAATTTATAGCAAGAATATGACTGGAAAAATAAATATTTAGGGAGGGAGGGGAGGGAGTAATTTCTACTGTAATGATGGTATGAAGACTCATAATTACAAAGGAAAACAAGCAGCAAATTGATTTGAACAACAGAAGCACGCGTTTACACATTTACTTTTAATACCAGTCCAAGATTCTGACTACGTAGCCAGCCAGCCATGCAAGCCAAGGTGGGCACACAGCTGATGCAATTTGGCATTTAAGTCTAACACAATTTCAAGGTAGGAATTTGATGTGCAGAAATCAAATGAATGAAATGATTAAGGTTGAATCAATATGTAGTGGTCTCCTATCTACATATGGTCCAGGTCTTAAAAGGTTTTAAGTAATCATTTGTTTGACTTGAGCTCTAAAACTTTTTGCTTTTGTCCACACTGTAGAATAATAAACTGAAATTAAAGTATAAGCCATTTCTCGTACGGTCCAACAAGAAAATTCTTCGCGATTAGGCTGCCCAATAAAAAAAGTCTTTGAATTGAAAAAAACATGTTTCTCATCCAGCAAATATGAGCTTATTGCTTGTTTGCCTAATCCAGAAAATATGAGCTGAGCCCCGTTTAGTACACATTTTTTCAAAACTCATTGTCAAATATACATTTTTCAATAAAATAATATTTTTCATCACATCAATAACTTTTTATTACTTTTTAACCACGTATTTATCATCATATAACTGTTTAAAATACATTATTTCTCAATAATATCCATCAAACACACCCTTATTTCTCTTATCCAGCACATTTTTTTGGGTGGGAATTTTGTGCTCGCGAAGGGTAAGAAGCAAAGAGTTGTTGCAGTCGAATGCTGAAAATGAGCATAGAGCAATGGAAGAGTAATTTGGCTTCCAACCTTATTAAGTGGACTTGGACGTGTCATTGATGAGTCGAAGAAAAGTGAGAATAATGTTAAATCATCATGCTCCTTACGACCTCGGCAACACACATGATATAATGGTCAAGACACATGCTTGCGATACCGCGACAATGAACTAACCCCAAAAACCAGTCCTCAGGTCGATAGGGTTCAGGTTGTGCCAATGCCGTTGGCTGCTAGTCAATGCTAGATTCATTTTTGCCCCGAGCCACAACCCAGGCTAAGTCTAGGAAGGTACAAGTCCAGCTGGCTTTGGATTCAAGTCTAGAAGCTCTACAGCATTGATCCAATTTAGAGGAATGGGTCGAATCAGGAATTAGACTCCCCATTTTGAGAGAGAAGAATGTTCATTTTTCTATATTTTATGTAATAAAATCAGTAGTAACGATCCATATAGACATTTTTTTTTAAAGGAAAGTGGAGGAAGGCAGGCCCCATTCCTTAACACTCTTGATCGTGAAAACAATAATTCTTAACCAACAGAAATTTCGCACACATAGACTTTGGAGTAGAGCGTATCAAGCAATTTTAACAGGCGATTCTTGAATTGCTGGAAAGAATCAGCCTTTTATAATTATATATTCCCAATATAGCAATATTATTATTCCTTTGTGCAGGACAAACGATTGTTTTCACTGTAAATTCATCTCGACCCTTCCAACAGGTGACAGTCGCTTGTAAAATCAAATAATTCATAATGAGAACAAGTCCCGAGACTCGCCTGTTAGCATGAAACAGCCTAAAGAGTCAACAAGGCTACTGGTGGTGTATCTCACCACGGAGGAATGAATTCATTCTACTACTAACATCATACATCTACGACCTTGGATCAAACATGTTGTGAGGTACAGAAAATTAGAACCTTTCTTGACTTATTGGAAGTCCACACCTGGTATAAATAACCACACATGGACTTGGGGGACTATTGTTACGGGTTAGTATATGTAAGCGACACGTGGCATCACATTTTGACGGTGGGACCAGCTTGATTAAATCAGGACATGTTTTCCTACCTTCAGACGTGGGTTCCGAGGCCCTCACTATTGTTCCGAGGCCATTGCTGCTAATAATAAACCACGGTTCGGTAGGCATGCATCGTCCGAGGCTCCTCAACAACCATTGAAGACCCACTTGCAAAGATCCGCTTATGATGGAGATCTTTTATGAATGATCGACGTGACTCTTATGAAAAGTTTATCTATGTCTTGTCTTGTCAATGTAAGAGCATTTAATATTTCGCAAAGTTAGGAAAGTCAACTTGATTGCTAGGATTTGATGTCTTGGTCGAGGAGATGATGCCACGTGTAAATTGATCCAAAGGTCACCATTCGAATTGTAACACTATAAATACCCCCACCATGTAACACAAAAGGGAATAATGCAAAATTGGAGAGCAAATTGAATATTTTGGAGCAATCTCTCTTGTTTCAACTGCATTTTTTACAACATTTCATTACTACAGATTGTACTTTGTTGATTGGTTTCTTATACAATCGTATCATATTCTTGCCGGTGGCCTGAACGGAAACGTCTCGTGCCTTCTAGCCACTCCCACGCCTATTACTTGGAGCCATCATGACCGTCGATCGGCATTAGCGTGTTGGATCAAACTTGCATGTGCACGAGTGGGCCCGGCATCTGTTGGCAACATTTTTTGGGGTCAACACGTGTTGGAAAATTCCAACATATGGGGCCACACACACATATATATTAAAATGTGTAGTGTTATTTTTAAAAATTAGTCAATAAAGTGATCAATTAAAGCTAATTTTGGACTAATGAATATTAAATGTCATGGAAATAGAGTGTAGAGACATTATTTTAAATTGATCAGGGGCCAATTTAAAAGAATTAAAACATAATAACCGCATATTCAGTTATTATATCATGGGTCATTGTTTCCAATTGAACGTGAGTTTTTCCATCTCTTTTCATCCCCATCAACAGAAAAAAATCATAAGGGACTATTTATCAATTGGAAGATCATAACCCGTTCAAGTAATCACATTCATGGATCAAGGTATGCTTTCATTTCTAATCTTCTTTTTTATTTCAACATGGAGGATTTATATGTATATGAAAGGGTTTGATAGAAACTTTAACCCTTTTCCATTCCAACAACTCCTACTAGCAAGACGAGACACAACAACATCAGACAATCCGAGATTTTTGACACTTTTCTCCAGAGATTCCAGCGTTGTAACATTCGAAAAGCAAACATTTGCACCATTCAACAATCCCAAAGTCTCTTCAGTACTATTCTTGCCACTTATCCCACTCATTTCCCTTGCAATGGCATTTACATCCTGGCAATTAACTCCTTAACTACAGAATTCCCAATATAACCAGTAGAACCCACAACCAAAACATTAATATCTTTAGAGTTCTT